GCAAATTGTATCATAAACCTTGTATTTTTTCCTCGATTTCAATAAACATGTAAAATATACGTACAATCTATTTTGAGTGACTCGGTTTTGGGTTTTGGTACAAAATTTTACCAAATTGTAAGTTTGTTAAAACACGAGTGGTCTATTAGTCATAGTGTTTTAAAAAAATCGTTTTAAACGGCTGTCTAATTAGGACTTGGCCGGACCGCTTTGGTCATAATTGACATGCTTTCATGTTTTTTAAATTGAAAAATTATCCATGTTGAAATAAGATCACAATCAGTTATTCAAAAAAAAAAATTGACGGTCGAAATAAATTATGACTCAAAAACCTCTTAAATATTTACACGTTTTCTTCTATATCCAAAGTTCCAAACTAATTAACTTTTTTAGATTGTTAGATTTGGATCGGTTTTGGATAGGAAGAAAATCATGACGGATTGGTTTAAGGCGAACATAGTTAACAAGACGTGGTTTAAGTTAAATTAACAAAATATACTAGTTTTCCTTTTTCCCTGGTTTTAAGAAAATTTTCGTTTTAGTAATTTCATTACCTGTTGCCGAATCCTAATATCCAAAGGTCAGACGAACAGTTCATCGTCAAGGTGTAAATCCAATGTTCACGTGGCTGATAAGGGATTTCAAGTCTTTGCAAGACCGAAGAATTCTTTTTCTTTTCTTAATAACTAAGACCGAAGAATTCGACGCACGTGGCTGCAGATGGTGTTTATTGGTCTATCCCCATGGGAAGGAAGGAAAGAATAGCTTGTCTCTATCTGCTTGTTGCTGATTATAAAGATTTGCCTCTGAGTGGAAGATAACTGCAAAGTTTTGCCTTGGTGAAAACAATTCTTCAGAAAGTCTCTCTGAATCGAAGAAACATGTTTTGATAGGGACAATCCTGCATGTGGTAGGCATTACTAATTGCACCGTAGCAAACTTAATAATGGTTTTCTGGTGAAAGGTGATCTCAAGATTGTCGCACAAGTAGAGGTTCTCCACAAATCTAGTGTGGAGACTCATGAGGAGATCCAAGATTTAGATTACCAATAGTAATCTCTCTCTCCTTTACCATTTTGTTTTTGTTTTTTTTGAACCTCTCTAGCTGATGCAACGAATCTAGTGGATCATTGGCTTTTGGCAACACGTTACACGTTGGTTTTTTTTGTTTTTACGTGTTTGCCAAGTTATTGAGTTTTCTATATGGGTTAATTTGTGTAATAACCAAAAGAAAAATTATAATTGGTAATCTAACCAAAAGCCCTAAATCTAGTGGCTATGATTTTGCTAAATAGGGGGCTTTTAGTTAGATGGCCAATTATAATTGTTTGTTCGGTTATTCATGTCAAATTCTCTTTCCATATTTTGTTTCTTTTATCAAATGATAGACTTAGGTCTTTGTTCGATAAGGATGTAGGATTCGTTTGTGACCTCCTCTGATTATTATAAGTATGCGTTTAGGGCTTTTGTAGAGGACACTTCTTATTGTGATATTGAATATACAGAGCTCTCGTAGCTTAGCGAAATAATTCGCAACCTCTTGTTCTATCTTGATTCGAGACTCTCTTAACCTTGACCCTCCTTCTAGTTACGGGCTTCTGCCTCTCTATCACTAGCTAGCTTTATCATCTTGACCAATGAACCCTTAAATAATGTTTGTGTACGTTATGACATCCGGAAATTCATCTTCTGCACTCATCTTCTCTATCAACTTAAAAGCTTTATCCATTTTTCTATTATTCCAAGACAATCAAAGAGTTAGAAGAAAAAAAAATTTCGGTTTAGATTATCAAGAATAGAAGAAGTTCATAAATTTTAGATTATCTTAGATTATCAGGAATAGAAGAAGTTCATAAATTTTAGATTATCAGGCATAAATGTTAAGCTTATAAGGGCATGTATGCTCCCAAAAGTAAAAGATTATCAAGAATAGAAGAAGTTCATAAATTTTAGAATTTTTTTTTTTACACCACACATTTCTCAGAAAAAGACACTATGATCGGCT